TCATCTTTGACGAGTCTTCAACTTCGACTCCCATGGAGGTGGATCGTGTCTACTCAGATGGGCGTAGCTGGAATAACAATCGGGGCGACAAGGGCGACAAGGGCAAAGGAAAGAACAGTTTTTCTCAGAAAGGCAATCAGAAAGGAAAAGTTAAGGGAAAAACAAAGACCAAAGATGGGAAGAGTGGACAGAAAGGGAAGCAGAAGAGCGACATGCAGGGCAAAAGCGGTGGGAAGCAGAATGTTTCAGGGAAAGGAAAGGGTAGCAAGCCAGATGTTACCTGCCATCGATGTGGCAAATACGGGCATTTTGCTCGTGATTGCTGGGGAACTTCAGTGCGACAGGTGCAGAATGAAGGCTCAAACAGTGTTCAGCAGTCTCCTCAAAGCCAACAGACCTCAGTTGCTGCTGGAACGCCTTCATCTCAGACAAGTTCTCAAATGCCTGTAGCCCCTCAGCAAGGACGTATTGCCAGAATTCAATTTGCAGATGACCATGTCTCAGATGTTTTAAAACATGATGAGTTGGTTTTTGACCTCAGAAGTCCATGCAGTGCTTCGAGTTGCTTGGAGGGAAACGTGGGGACGTTACAGTTTTTCATCGGTGACGAGCCCAATGCAGTTGAGTTTGATGTTGAAACTGTTGACACAGGTCTTGCAGTTAGAACCATGTTGGAAGATGTAGATGATGTGACTCAAATGCACAGCATTTTGCTGGATTCAGGTGCCGATGCCTCAGTGTTCCCAATCAGCATGGCAGAGCTAGGTAGTCCTTGCAACGATGTTGACACAGTCTTGCGTGATGCACAAGGCCAAGCAATTCCATTGCATGGTTACAGGGATGTTGAGCTGCATCTCATGGACATGAAAGGACGTGCCATCGTGCTCAGAGAGACAGTTGCGCTGAGTGACAGGATCTCCCAACCTATCCTGTGCTTTGGCCACTTGCTGGAGAATGGGTGGAGTGTAAATGGTGTTGAACAGACCCTGACTCATGGCTCTGGAATTTCAATCCCAATTGAGCTGCAAAACAAGTCAATGTTGGTGCGTGGATGGGTACGCATGATGAAAGATGAACCTCAAGTGTTGGAACCTTTCAGTATTAGGGCAGTGCGTGCTGAGCTCTTTGAGGAACTCTCATACATGCGTGTTGGTTGGAACCTTAGTCCCGAAGGGGTTGGTTCAGGAAAGCACTATGGCAATTGCTTTCAAGATCCTACACTTGCTTGCCCAACAATGTCTGGAAGGAAATTCAGAACTACGTTGATCAAGGATGGAGACCAATGGCTGGTCATGGAGTTGTGCGAGCCTTTGGAAACGTTGATTGATCTTGCAGCAGAGTTCCATGGGTATGAAGGTGACAGGTTCATCATCACAGTGATTACACCCAGTGAGAGACCACCTAATGTGATGGGCTTTCGAATGATGGATGACGATGAGATTCAACCTGCGGTGCAACTTGAGTTTGAACAGGAGAGACACGATGAAGGTGAGATTGCACCTCTTGCGCCAGAGGATGAAGTTGCAGGCATGGACATTGGTGGTGATGTTCAACATGATGCAGGTCAAGCAGTTGAAGGCCAGCTTGTTTATGCAGACAGGGGTGATCACTTGAATGTCAATGGAATTGAACTTTTTCCAACCAGTGCACTTGCAAACTTGCGTGAAGCGTGTGCATTCTACAGCTTGTCACAGTCTGGAGGGAAGGAAAGGTGTTTCAAGCGCTTGTGGGAGCATCAGAAGAAACTAGAGCTCCAGACAGCTCTTTCTGCAGCACGTGAGACAGAGGCTGAGCAGCAGAGGAGGCCAAACCCTCAGAAGCTTGCTGAGCCACCTGATGAAAAATCACAGCAACTTCACATGCTGACCCACTTACCTTTTCAAGAGTGGTGTGCTCATTGTGTTGCACATCGGTCACGTCCAGACCGGCACAAGCGTGATGGCCAAGTCAAAGAATCTGGTGTGCCTACAGTGTCATTTGACTTTGCATACACAAAGGCAGTAGCTCCAGGTGGCAATGCCCAAGATACAGATCAAGTGATTGCTCTGGTGTTGGTTGATTCAATGACCAACTACACAGGTTGTGTGCCCATTTCCAAGAAGAACGACTTCGACCTGATGGTGCGTGAGATCTTGCAGTTCACCCAGGTTTTGGGGCACACTGAATGCACATACCTGTGTGACAATGAGCCTTCAATCTTGCAAGTACAGAAGAAAGCAGTTCAAGCAAGACAGATGATGGGACTGGTGACTCATAGCAAAACACCAGCAGCCTATGACCATGGAAACAGCTTGTGCGAGAACACTGTCAATCGTGTGCGTGGATTGGCAGGAACCTTGATGCACTCAGTTCAGGAGCAGCTTTCAATCAAGTTGAACACTGACCATGGACTATGGAGCTGGGCGCTGAGACATTCCAGCTGGCTTCTCAACCGGTTTGCAGTGGTTCATGGTGCTACCCCGTATGAGCTGGTGTATCACAAGGTTTACAAGGGCAAAATGACAGAGTTTGCGGAACCAGCATTTGCATACACTCACACGGTGCTGAAGGGGAACCCACGTTGGCAGAGGGTCATTGTCTTGGGCAAAACAGAAGCTCAAGATACCTATGTGGTTTTCACTGGACAGTCAGTGATGTTGACCCGCTCAATCAGAAGGATCTCAACTGACTGGAAGTGCCATTTGGGTTTCTACTTGCACTTCAATGCCCCTACGTGGAGATTCAAAGCTGGATTTGGAGGACGTGTGGTGCCCACCAAACGAGCGGTACCAGCCAAGTCTGCAAGTTTCAGTTTGCCTCAAGGACCTGTTTTGCCCTCACCTTTGCACGACAAGGATGCTGAAGATGTGAAACAGAAAAAGGTTGAAGAGCAGGCCGAAGAGCGTGAAGCCTTTTCCATGGGTCAACATGACCAACGAGCAGAGCCCAAGCAGTATGAAGTTGAACAGCTTGAAGGAATGCATGATGACTCAGTGACTATGCAGCATGGTACTGGAGTGGAGATGGATGCACCTTCTTTTGCAGCCAGACCCAAGCGTCCTGGCGAAGTGGAGGTGACCAGTGTTTTTGATGATGTTGTGGCTGATTCCTCTCTTCTTTCATCCATGGAAGCGCAAGTTGATTCTCCAAATGACCCTGGTCTTGCGGCACCAGTGACTCCACCTGTGATTGCGCCTCAGCTGCCCCCAACTCCAAGGCAGCAGCATCCTACAAGAACTCATGGTGATGATGTTGAAGAAAGCCATGAAGCAAAACGTGCGAAGTTGGAGTCTTTGAAGAAACAGAAAATCAATCAACTGCGTGAGTCTCATGAAGCAATGATCAGAACGGTCAAGGTTGTTTCTGATGAGTATGCAACAATGGATGACTATGAGAATGAGGTTGACATGGATGATGGCCCTGACACAGAGTACTGGAAAGATGAGGATCAGCTCACCTTCAGCGATGTTCCAGATGCGTTATGGTGTGCAGGAAGTTTGGAAAAGCAACCACCAGCACCTGAAAGCTGGGTTGATGAACTGGCAGACCAAGTCGAGATCAGTCGTTTGCTGAGCATGGGTGTTCTCCAACGAAAGGAGGAGTGCTTGGAGGAAATTTCAGGATCCTTGACTACCAGGTTTGTCTATGACTGGAGGATCAAGGACCATCCCAATGGGACCAAGCAATGGATGAGGAGGAGCCGGTTTGTGGCTCGTGAGTTTGCCACAGACAAGCGCTCTGACACCTACAGTCCAGCGAGTGGGTGCCATTCAGTGAACCTCATTCCAATTTGCTACCTGAAGATGCTTGCTGAAAGCTTGGACAGTGCAGAAAGATTTGATGAGGACAGCAGCAGTCCCTATCGTGTTGTTTTGGCGGCATTGGACATCAAGGATGCCTTTCTTCAGGTTCCCCAAGAAAACTTGGTGATGGTTTCTTTGTACAACCAGCAGTATGTCATCAGACGCAATCTTCCTGGTCAGAGACTTGGTGCGAAAGCTTGGTATTGGCATTTTCGCCGATACATCAGTGATGCTTTAAACTGTTGTTGGTGTGTGGAACAGCCTTGCCTGGCGAAATGCGTGGATGATGGGACCAACAACTGCTTTCTGATCCATGTGGATGATTTGCTGTTTGCTGGAAGTTACAGTTTTTGGACCACCAAATTCTTGCCAGCGGTGACTTCCAAGCTCAATGTGAACTACACAGAGTTGAAGGAAAATGGAAGCTTCATTTCTTTTCTGAAGCGAAAGCTGGTGAAGATCAAAGATGGTCTATTGCTTGTTCCAGGCACTACAGCGAACAAAGTGGTGTCTTACTTTGAAAAATTTTTCGGAGTAGCAAAGCAGCAGAAAATTCCATGTGATGGATCAATCCAGAACGATGACAAGTCCCAGAGGTTGAGTGATGGTGACAGCAAAGCTTACAGGAGTGTGATAGGATTGCTTCTCTACGTTGCGCGTGATCGGGTTGATGTGATGTTTGCAGTGAAGGAGTTATCAGCACACATGTCAGCTCCTACAGTTTGTGCCCTGCAGAAGCTTCGAAAACTCATTGGCTACCTCAAGGCCAATGGTGACATGGGCATTAAACTGTGCATTCCAGAATTTGGAGCTGGAAAATGGAAAAGAGGTGGTGAGAAGTTTTGGAATGTTGAAACATTCACGGATGCAGACTGGTCGGCGCACAAAACCCACAGAAGGTCCACAAGCTGCGCTGTGCACTTCATCAACAACAACCTTGCCTATGCCTCAAGTCGAACTCAAAGAGTGGTTTCATTGAGTTCAGCTGAATCTGAACTACACAGCATGGTGTCAGGATGCTCAGATGCCATCTTTCTACGTCGCTGCATGGAGTTTTTGACAGGTGATGAAATCGAGCAGTGGCAGTGGGTGGACAATTCAGCTGCGAGGCAATTGATCGAGCGCCAAGGTGTTGGACGTGTGAGACATCTCAGTGGTAAAATCTTATGGATGCAGTCATTGGTGTTGGAAAAGCAGATCAAGCTGGGACAGGTGCCAATGCAGTGGAATGTCAGTGATGTTGGCACAAAACCCTTAGCCAAACAACGTTTGTTAGTTCTTTTGCATCAAATCGGCTGCTGCAATCCAGATACCCATGAAATGGTTGGACAGGAGGAGTATGAAGCGTTTGAAGAGAGAACTGTGGGAAAACAAATGGTCAAGCGCATAGCCAAAACTATCATGCGTATGGCAGTGCTATGGGGTCTTGAGCCCAACCTTCAAGGAGCAGAGGCGACAGCTGTTGACGAGGAGGTTTGCCAACAGGTTCAGGCTTCTGGAAATAATGGAGGAAATACATGGCTTTGGTTTTCAGTTTTTCTTCTCTTCATGCTTTGGGTCGGACTTGCGGTGGCAGGATATGTTGCATGGAAGAAGTTTGCCAAGACAACAACAGACTTGGAATCGTGTTGGAATCAAGTTGCAGATGAGGATTCCTACATAGCAAAGCAGGAGGCGAGAATTGACCAAGTGATTCAACGCCTTGAACAAATCAGAGAGCACAATGAACAGGATCATGCGATCATTTCAGATCGAATTACAGAATGCAGCAATGAGTTGAGCATGGTGCATGACTATGCATCGGGACTTCACTACAGCATTGTCGAACATGGAGGTTTCTTGCGAAATGGATGTGGTCTTACTCCAGAGCAATGGCGCCACCTAGCAACTCTTGAAAGAGCAAATCTGGTTAGCTCAAGAGCTTTGGGTGCAGTTGAATACATGCGGCTGGTGCGCCAAAGGTTCCAGCCACAAGGAGCAGCAGATGCAACAGACAGCCCAAATGCTGAAGCTGATGATCCAATGGATGAGTCAGAACCAGAGGTGCCATCAGGACCCATCAGCGATGAAACCTTGACAGACATGCTTGAATTCCTCAAAGGTGAACATGGACTTTGCTTGGAAAGAAGTGAATATTGGGATGCCAATGAGGTACAACATGTGATCCTTCACTTCCTCTCCGAGATCCACCACAGTTCAGCAGAAAGCTTGGTAGCCTCGTGCCGAGTACGCATAGCTGGATTGTTTGGAGAGCTGAAGGACAAAGCAATTGAACAACATCGATGGGACAGTGCTGACAGATATCAAGCAATCGAGCGCAGGTACATGCAAAATCCACCTGCGTGACTCTAAGAGGGAAAATTCCAAAATGTTACAATGGTGCCATTACAGATACAAGTGCTGGAATGGACGCAAAACAATGAGTGGAATGCAGCATAGAGTCTAAGACTACAATGCTACAAGGAGGAGTGGAAAACATTTCTGTTTGCACCATTCCCTTTGTGACCACTTGCAGTGATGTCAAACCAATGGACTTCAGTTGGACCTCAGATGGACTGCGCAAGGATGACACTGCACAAATCGAGAAGAGACGTGTAGGTAGATTCAGTGGCGTTCACATGAATACCATGTGTATGTACCAGACCCTGTGGTTCAAAGAAAAGTGACGCTGCCTGCTTCGCACATTGGTGAATCAAATGGCCTACACTTAAAGGGTATTGCAAGTAGTGGCAACTCAAAGGAGCCCCCAGCGGCATCAGCCAGTTGACACCATAGGAAATTTTCTGTTTGCATATTGTTGTGCTCATCAAATTGATGGCACAAAGGCGGGGTGAAGCATATTTACCCTTGCTATATACATGTGTTACATGGCATCAGCATGTGACAGTCATTCAGTTGTCATTTCGAGTGCAACACGCACAAATCAAGAAGTATACATTCTGAGACGCTTTTGGATCAGAGAAAAAATCAGTTTGAGATGTGGAGAGAAGTGCGATTGAACAGTGAACTTACTCATGTTCCAGACTTTTCAAGGATGACACGCACAAACCGAGATGACGGTTGCAGTTTCAGTCCATCCATTCGGCATGAACATCATGTTTGAGTTTGATCCGGCCAAGGCACTTGAATGCACAAAACAATTGTGTGAATTTTGCCCGTTGCTTCGTATTTTTCCCCAACAGCGTAAGCTGATAGGGTCTTCAGCCCAGAACAGATCCGGTGTGCACTGGTGCAGTTCCGGGTCAGGTTCAAGGAGGTTCCGGAGAAGGTTCCGAAGGTTCAGGAGAAGGTCTGGGAGGCCTTTGGTGCAGAGCCAGGTTAGGTTGAACAGGGTTCCGGAGAAGGTTCCGGAGACAGAACCAAGTCAGGTTCAACAGGTTCCGGAGAAGGTCCGGGTCAGGTTCAACACGGTTCCGAAGAGGGCACCGGGAGGCTTTGGTGCAGAGCCAGGTCAGGTTCAACAGGGTTCCGGAGAACGTTCCGGAGAAGGTGTGGGAGGCTTCGGTGCAGAGCCCGGTTAGGTTCTGGAGAAGGTTCCGGAGAAGGTTCCGGGAGGCTTTGGTGCAGAGCCAGGTCAGGTTCAACAGGGTTCCGGAGAAGGTTCCGGAGAAGGTCCGGGGATTCCGGAGAAGGTTCCAGGAAGCCTTGGTGGTCAGGTTCAACGGGTTCCGGAGAAGGTTGCAGAGAAGGCCCCGGAGAAGGTTTTGGGAATCTTTGGCACAGGGCCAGGTCAGGTGCAACAGGTTCAACAGGGTTTCCAGCGCTTAGTTTCGCAGCACGCTTCAGAAAGATTTGTAAAAATGAAATCTGCGGCTGTTGAGGATACCACCGAAACTTATTTCAAAATGTGCAATTTGGTAAGATTATTGGCCATGAACCCGGTTGTTCTGCTCATTTGCTTCTTCGACGCCTGTTTGTTGATTTAAAACAGCATCGCTTCAGTTCTGCCGCGCACGCCTTCTGTTTTTCCATGATGTTCGTATATTTGACCGATTTGTTTTGTGTTGCGTTTGTTGTTGAAACATGTTTTCGATTGTCAAATTTTTTGGTCAAAACGTGATGTTTTTGTAGCAGTTGGAGGCCGAATTTGCAGATTGGCATGTGTGTTCGAAGACTTTCAAACCGACATGCGTTTGCATACAATTTTTAAATCTATTTGCCCATCATTGGCCGTGATTGAGTCAGTGTAATTTGAATGTATTTTGCATGTGTTTTGAACGCGTTTTATCAAATCGAGTGTGCACTGCTCTTGGCTTCACGGTCCCAAGATTTGCCAGCAGAAACAATATTTGCACAATCCATTTATTTCAAAAAAATGTTTCCCCATGTTTTGATTCATGGACAAATTTTTGCACCCATACCGGTGCAAAACAACAACAATAAACAGAATTGCACCGGATTTTGTTCATGGTTCCGAAAAACATCGCATCCTCATGTTAACGTCCACGTATCGAATTTTGTGTCGTGGGCTCAGTTTGCGTCAGTGTGCGTATCATTTATCAACAATTGCATGGGGTTTCTTGAGAATCGTTTGAGAATTGTTTGTACTGCAGGTAATTCCAATGGTCACAGTTCCTCCGCGTGTCGGAGTTGACTTGCAAGAAGATTGTCCATCTTTTTGGGAGGTTGGACGGGTTTTCAAATGGACAGTTCGATCAACAGTTGACGTTTTTTCAGTTGGATGGCGGTATTATGAATCATGAAAATTTCGACCAGCGATAAATTTTGATCAGACGGGGTTTCATTGAGGGATTTTTTAATTAAGAGCCTGCATGCTAACATGAATTTGCATTCGTTTGTCAGCAAATTGAACATCGGATGTACAATTGTTCTGTGATCAAGGGATTTTGATATTCTTGGGGCCGTGGCCAAAAATGAAATTATTAATTTCTTAAACTTGATTAATCGTTTGTTCGAAGTGAACGGCACAATGAAAACACGTGAAAACATGAACAACTCTTCATCCTGTTTCGTGTATTGCAAAAGTTGCCTTTGCAAGAGAATTTGTGACACTGCACGAAAACATATCACAAACCATAATTTTGTGAAACTCTTGGCGGAACGAAACATATCAAAAAACACGGTTTCGATGTTTTCAAATATATCGGCCCGTACATTCTTGTTGGGTCTTGTAGATCAATACCAATGACTGGATGCAATTCTCACGTTGCTGTGCAGATTTTTCATTTGCTCTCTCAAATCCGAAACCAATTTAGAATTTGTCAATGAATTGCATTTTTTTTCCAATTGTTTGTTTTGCAACGAACTTGCCGGATGTCACCATATGTCACCATGATGTTGTGATGTTGTTGTCCGACAGATTGCATTCGACCGGATCGTTCTTCAAGACTCTGTGGGGCAAGGTGTGCTTGCCTTATGAAACAATGCAATGTCAATTTCGAATACTGGAGACGGTAGGAACAGGGATTCAACCAAATCAGACACATTAAGAACACATTTAAAAATACATGATGAAAAACACATGGGTGTTTGATGTTGTTTGCTCATGTCGATCAATGTCGATGCTCATCTCTGTCCCGCTGTTAAGGTCACTGCTCACGTTTTCGGGCCATCCTGGATGGGCAATACCAGGCTCGAGAAAGTCTCGGATCGGCGGATCGGAAGTGTGGCTCATAATGGTTGGTTAATAAAAAAATGAATGGAAAAAACATGAAAAAATGATTTATGGAAAATTGATGATTTTCCAGTTTGTGTTTCTGAATATTTGGAACAGTTCCTTGCAGTTTCTGTTCAGATGTGTTCAGGTTGCGGTGAAGCAAATCAATGACATGGACAAGTCCACATCTTCAGAGAAGGACATGGCCTGACATGGCCTGACATGGCCTGACGCCTGACCATCCAATGACTTGTTTTTTTCATCCGGCCTGGTTTCCACATTTCGCGCCCACCTGAGCCAAGCAAGCAATAGAGGTCAAAATTTAAAGCTTTGCTGGCTTTACGGGCTTTGCATAGCAAGGCATCCTGCAGGAATTTGGATTCTATCGGGGAAAACTGTATAAGGCAAGTCTTGAAAACCATAGGTTAGCGGTTAGTCTTGTTTTTCTGTGTCATTTTCACCTTTACCTTTCGATTCGAAACCTGTCACTGAGCCAGGATTTACGCGCGTTTGAGCGTGAAGTACCGGTTCTCATGAGGAGACTGCGGCAAAAGTTGGCCATGTTTCATTGCTTTGTATCCCGAATGATCCCGAATCGCCGTGTTTCATTCAAAGATTTTGCGATCTCAAACTTTCAACAGCATGTTTTCCAACCTTGGATATGGCAGGACTGATCATGAGAACTTGGTGCGCTTTCTTGGCATTTCATCTGTCCAGAGGCTGAGATGCCTCATCTGTCATGAATTTCATGAAACCAAAGGTTTCATATGGTTCAACATGGTCTAATATGGTTTAATTTTGTTCAACATGGTCTAATACGGTCTAAAGTGGTTTGATTATAGTTTAAACTTGTCATGGATTCATATGGTTTAATATTGCTTAATATGTTTTAATATAGTTTGACATGGTTTAATATGATGGTTTAATTCATTTTAAGTTTCAATGGCGCTAACAATACGCAGAAGCAGTCCACGAAAACATTTTTTTTTGGCTCGTCAAGGTAACGAAAGGTCCCAGTCGACCTGGCAAAGCTTTCGATTGCAATCTCTACAGATTCTCCTGGAGTCTCTTCCAACCTTTTGCAACGTTTTAAATTTTTCAAGACATGCAAGATGTCTTTTCACCATTTCGCTAAGCCTTCGCTAAGCCTTCGCAACAAGCCTTTTCGCTGGGACTTGATCCTTTTCTTGATTATTTATATTATATATATGATATTTATATTATTTATATTATATATATATATGATATATTATATATATGATATATAATATATATATAATATATATAATATATATAATATATATAATATATATAATATATATAATATATATTACATTATATATATGATATATATATAATATATATAATATATATATTATATATATTATATATATTATATATATATAATATATTACATATTATATATATTATATATATTATATATATTATATATATATATATCATATATATAATATAATATATAATATATATATTATATATATTATATATATTATATATATTATATATATTATATATATTATATATATTATATATATTATATATATTATATATATTATATATATTATATATTATATATATTATATATATGATATATTATATATATTATATATATTATATATATTATATATATTATATATATTATATATATTATATATATTATATATATTATATATATATATATTATATATTATATATATTATATATATTATATATTATATATATTATATATATTATATATATTATATATATTATATATATTATATATATATTATATATTGTATTATATATATATTATATTATATATATATATTATTATATATATATATATTATAACATGTACTGGATTAGTATGACCGTGGCATGTAATTCTCCGTGCGTTGCAGAGCCCTAGTGCTGCCTGGGTGTTGCTGAGGCCACAGTTGGATTGGCTGCTGGGCAGCTGGCAGACAGCAAAGGCACCAGGGAGGTATCCGAGCTTGAGTTCGAATTCAGTGGCGGGGGTTTCCATGGTCATGGGGGTACACCATACATAGATGGTTTACAATGGAAAATCCTATGCAAAATTGAGGATTTGGGGGTACCCCCATTTTAGGAAACCTCCATTTGAATGTGAAACGCTTGCAATTTCCATAGTTCCACAGTTCCACGGTGTCCTTTTGTGTCCTGTTCCCAGGGCAGCGGAAGCAGGAGGTCAAGGTACATACCGGTCATCTTCTGTAGGATGTGTGTTTCGAGTGTCATTTTCGAATGACTCAAGCTTGCATTTTTTTTGCCACAAGAGAGTTTTGTTATTTCGTCAATACGACTTGAGATAGGAAAGAATAAGAAAGAATCAAAGTACTTCAGGATCATCAGTCCCATACATTGTGTGAATCAGAGTTCTTTGTTGTGATCCTTTCAATGGCAGCAGGCCAAAGAAGCTCTCAAAAAAGAACTTGCACAGCGGCTCTCCAAAGGAATGCAGGCGACAAAATGGGAATCCTGATGAAACGCTGCAATGCAGTCGTCTTTGCAGGGCTTCCCTCACAACGAAAAACTGCGGTACAGTGAGATACTGCGATGACAGATGTCGAAGGCGGCCATTTGGTAGGGGATGTGGTTTGATGTGAAGGTCAGGTTCCATTTGCCCGGTCAGAATTGACGCTGACGGTAAGAAACACCCATTGACCCGGCCCCCTGTGGGATTTGTGCTGTGTACCCCAGGCTTTCAAACGGGTGGAAGCCCTTGAGACGACAGAGGCTGAAATGGTGACTTTGGATTCATTTTTTCTCCACTTGTAGAGTGGCATCATTTACCCGGCTCGTTTGGCCTGGAAGAATTTCGGATTGCACTGATTTTGAATCAACGCGCAACATATTTGATAGTTTATTTCACAAGACTCGACTTAAAAGGCAAGGACAAATAGTGAAAAAATACGAAAACATTGTAGCTTGATGTAATTGTACAAAATTGAGTACGCCATTATCAATTATCACTTCGAATCTGTCATAGTCGTGGCAAGTTGGTGTTGTTTTGTACCCCTCGGATTCAAGGCGACTCTGCAACAACAGCTGGCATACAACAACCGAAGACTGGGCCGGCTTGAAGAGGCACGGTGTTTAACCAGAGAGCTGGCATCCCTGTTGGTTTCAGGAGATTCCAGATACAAACTGCTTTGAATCTGAATCTGTTTCATCTCTAGGGATTAATACAGTGGAAAGATATTAACATAGCATTTTTTCATTGAGGATTAATTGTTTTGGCATTTTTGGCCCTGCAAAAACAGCTTTAATTTTTTAATAATGACGCGCCGATTACAATTTGTAAATTACAATGACAACCCGTTTCTGTGGGTAATGTGGCCATCCAGATATGAACTTAGCTCCAAATGGCTCAGGCTTTGCAAAAGGAGGAACAGCAACGTGACGAGGCGCCATGGTCAGAAACTGGATCAAAGCCATTAAAAATGGGCGGTCATAGCACCATTGAATAGGGAAGATATAGTCAATGGGAGATCTTCAGGATCTTAAAATGGAGGTACTGTACCATATAAGACCATATTTTATGGGGATATTCCCTTACATAGGCCTTACATAGGCCTTACATAGGCCTTATATATGTTAGGGAAGATGTAGGGAAATTGGAATGGCCAATGTAAGGATTGGTATACCCCATTGTGAGACAGACCCAAATATCATGTCAAGTTTGTTTTCCCATTATATCACTATTATATATCCATTTATACAGTGGGTTAAATCTAGGCCCTACCATAAACCCACGTACCATGTCAAATCCTTGGTGGTCTTGGACTTTGATTCTTTTCTCCAGGCTGTTAAGGAAAATCTCCAGTTGAGGGAAGAGCTGCAGCAAGAGGAGCCCAGCAAGTCAGATCTGTCAGAAAAAGGTATTCCACGACTTCGATATGCAATTTTCTAAGATTATTCTCAAGAGATGCTGCTTTCCGCAAATGTCGGCTGAACATGAGTTTCAGACTGACTGTGTGCACAGTACCAGGAGAAATTCAACAAAGAGACCTTACACAGAGTGGAGGCTTTGGAGAAGGCCCTTGCCATTCTTGGTTACCTTTTGTAGCGGTGTAGCGGTGCAGAAACCCTCCCACAAAAGGGATGACTTCTCATGAGAAGATGCTGACGAGGTCGGATGTATGTGTCGGATGTTCTTCCTGTTTGAAGACTGGTGAAAAAATAGCGCAGAAAAACTCAACCGGTTTCTGACATTTTCTGACCATCGGTTTCCAACCAAGTTTGGCAGAAAATCATGTCACAGCTCGCTCCACAGGTTCGCCTGGGCGACAACCAGTCAAATCGAGTGGCTGTGTTGGAGGCGGCCCGGATTGCCCTTGGTCCAGTTGTGGGGATTTCCGAGGTTCTCCAGCAGAAATCACGCAAAATCAAGTTGGAAATCATCACTTTTCCAGGATGAAAATGCGAAATTCCGCGCTGCCCTGGCTGGTGCTGTGGGAGGGCCCAAATCCTTGCTTTTTATAGCAGATGGTGAGCATCAACAATTTCCAGGTGCGGACATGTTGCGCAGTAGCAAATCCATGTGCTTCCAGAATTTGACCATCGAACGAATCAACCAAATGGATTAACCAATCAATCTGTGTGTTTGTCGTAAAAGTTTGACAGCCTAGATTGGAACGGAACAGCATTGAGGCACGACGGTTAATCAACTTGGAAGCAGATGTGAGGAGCCAGAGGCGAGGGATCCAGACGTCGCGGAAAGGGATGCGTTTTGGGAAAAGGGGAACCGGTATCCCAAAGGGAGGACAGTGACTCAGCATGTAACTTGGCAGGATGTTTTTTTTTGCTATGTCAAATATGTTTAAATCACCAATCAGCCAGGCTGCTTTCGACGTGGCAGCCTGAGATGTCGGAAATGTTGGACATGTTCCAGATGCCACACCGCCTTTAAGAATTGGGTCTGAACATGTTGAGAACAAATTCAAAATCCAATAGTTTATAATTTTCTCTATTCAAATTCTAATTTTGGGGATATCCCCATTTTTAGTCACGCACAATTGGCAAGCCGGTGATTGCAGGTTGTACGTCAGGTTGTAATGAAGAATGAAGGTCTGATCATTGCGATCCTGAAGGATACAAGTAGGCTGGTTTCTATCCGTAGTTTACACATGTGAGACTTTGCGAATGATACACCACACGTTTGGAATCCACCCAATTTCATCAATTTTCTTTTGCGGTAGATAAATTTGAGCAAAGTTGGTGAAGTTTTGGCCAAACTGGAGGCTTGTTTGAGTTGCCAAGTACACCAAGTCTTGTTCCAGGGAGACGGAGCAGAAGTACCAAGGTCCACCCCGAAAGTTGTCCGACATCAGAAACAGCCAATGCAGCCAGCAAAGTGACAGTCAAAAAACTGGAGTTGGAATGGGACAGTAGCAGAATTTTTGTCTTGGATGAGTTGTTCAAAACTCCTCAAGCCATTTTTTGCTGCCATCATCCAGATAAGGTTTGCTGAAGAATGCTACGCATGTTGGTGGAAATTCACTCTGTAGAAGTTGCCGTTGTGATATCTAGCAATGCATGTTGTTCTGTGTGCATACCTGCCGTTTGATGTGCACTTGGCACTGCCACCTTGGCACCTTGTGGATGATCCATGCAGTGCTGGCTCAAGAAGTATGGATGATGCTCCAGGGGAAGAACTCCTTGGTTGGATGCTTAGAGTACAAAACTCCTTGGTGTATGTCCCTGTTGGATGACAAAGTTGAAGCTGAGCCTTTAATTTTTGCACCAGTTCCCTCACCCTTCTTACTTAATTGAGGGAACGCAGCCAAACTTGCCAAAGACTAAGGCTAATATTTTTCGTGAGCTGAGAGTTTTTATCAGTAGGGGGTTTGGCCATTGCTCATCATTGCTCCACTTTAAAGGTCTTGAGGCAGTTCGAAGAAAACAAGAAGGATTGAGCTGGAAAATGGATGAAAATGGTGACCATTGCCAACCTTTTTTGGGCTTTACAATGCGAGGTAATGAAGAAAGCTTCGACTGCGAAGATGCGGCGAGGAGTCCGAGAATAACTCAGGACTGAACCAGTCGTTCTCTCTGCCACGCCAGAAACCTCGAAACATTGTTCGAATTCGCTCGATTTCGGTATGTGTCATGGTTCGAGACCTGCAAAGCCAGAGATCCTGGAAATCTAATTGCTCACAGTATATACAGTATATTTATAATATAATATAATACAATGTAATGTAATGTAATATAATATGTATATATATATATAATAATACAATATAATTTAATATCATATGATATAATAATTATAATATAAAAATAAATGAGAATAACTGTGATGGCAACCGCTTTGATCCTCAAGGTCTAGATGCTAGGCGTTGCAACGCTGTTGGAAACTGCTGGGGTGCTCAATACTTTCACCCGGTCATTGGCCTGTCCAGCCCATTGCCATCCTTCTGTCTTCCCTGTGCTTCTGGCTGGTCTTCTTGGAGGTGTCTTCGTAGGTATTTATCTCTCTGTCCCTTTGGATTTATTGGATTTTCATCAGCCACCTCCAAGTCCATCCTCCATCACATCCTCCTTTCCCAAACAGAGTCCAACAACTTGATCGCCTGCGGGCACACGTGCATGAGCGGCCTCGAGAGAGCAGCAGCCGCAATTTTAGGTTTGGTTGCGGCAGTGAAGAGTTTAGCGTTTAAGTTGGGCAGGGCAAGAAGGCAGCCTTCGAGACAGAACAGGCAGACCTTGGTGAGTGGGAAATGATTGACTATCAAGTTCCAGGTAGAAGAGGGCCCGCTATCGACACCCGATTTCCTGGTGTCTCTGGCAAAGAAGAAGCTCCGTTCAGCAGCTGACAGCACTGAGGATAGAGCCCGAGCTGCGTTTTCAGCAGGATACTGGTTTCGAGTTGCATGCACCTGTGGGGTCAGTTTGACCAGCTCATACAACCCAGTCTTCCCCTGGATGGTTCAGAAAGATCGAGGAGTGTCCAATTTTGCAAGGACCTCGGCGCGCAAGGGGGCCAAGAGATTGTGCGAGAGCCTTGAGGGGGCCGTCATTGTTGAGCGCTTCACGTCCCAGTTGCACCCCTTGTGAGATGGTAAAGCGGGCAGTGAAGTTTGCCTCCGCAGCTTCCCCAAGCTTGCTCATTTTTGAGGTGCCTGGCTTGATAGCTGCTAGTGGTGAGGACGCTGTGACATGTGCCTTGCCTCTGATTGGGAGGCATGGTGGGCTTTTGTTACCTTTCCCAACCGGTGTGATTGATGAGGAAGCTTTCCCTGGCATTATAACTAATGAGGTTCAGATGGTTGGTCCTGCTAAAACGCTTGAAGGCATCGAGTTGTATGAGGAGGAAGACGCTGGGAGTGGCGCCATTCAAGCTGTCAAGACAGGTGTTTCCTGCCCCGTCACAGTTTCCAACTTTTTGGATTCAGTGCTGGTCTATCTCAGAGAGTATGACCCAGTCCCTTGCATGCTGAAGTTTTGGCCCCGGCTCTTGAATGGGCCAAAGGTGAGCTTGAGGGCCGAGTCCTTTTTTACAGCAAGAGCCAGATGTTCCCGAGGTCAGAGCTGCGGCTGCGCAAAGAAAGCCGCGAAGAGGATTTCGAATGCAGCCTTATGAATCAGCAAGCCATGGCCACCAATGGGCCATATCCAAAGACCCCTGCGATCCATCCCGTGCTGCAGGTCCTGCTATAGCCCTTGCCGCCACCGCCACAGGTTTCAAGATGCCAGCCGTGAGCCAAGGCCTTTTCTCCCCTGTGAAGCTCGGAGGAGCCCCAGCGGCATTAGTAGGACCACCGCCAAAGGTGAGAATGGCAGCCCCAGCAGCACCCATGCGCCCAGAGGAGCCATACCACGTCCTGGACCTGGAGGACGGTTTGCAATAAGATGCAGTGGTAGCAGCCATATCACAGCAATGAGTAGCACTCACAGCTTTGGTCTCTCACCTGATCAATCAAGACGGTGGCCTGATGAGTGGTGTCCAACGAATAGCTTCGAGTTCCACAAAAGGCACCTTAAAAAGAGAGAAGATGCAGCAAGATTTTGCAGCTCGCCGCTCTTCCTTTTTTCTCCAGGTCCAGCAGCAGATCTTCAAGAAGCTTCACTCATCCAAACTTCTCCCGAAGAGCGAAGAGGAGCTGGCAGCCCCCCAAAAGTGTCCCTACTCACCTACCTGGAGCGCTATGGTGGTTACAGGGGTCAGAGGGAAGCAGGGCTGTCTATGTGGATTTTGGCCTCCAGCGACTTTTCGGCTACAAAAGAGTTTTTGGCTTTGGGAGTCATGGCGCTGGAACAAAGTGTCTTCGATGCGGGAGACTGGTCTCTGGCATACATCTTGGCCATGGTGGAGGACCCCCCAGCAACAATGTTTTCAGAGAGGATAAATTCCATAACTGCTGCTGGGAGGCCTTTTTCTCCCTTGGTCCCTCCACTTTTGGCCTCGACCAACCTCTCACACATCAAGGAGCTCGAAGTGCTTCAGACTCGAAGACCAGATCTACAAAGAACCAGGGTGGCAGCCCAAAGGGACAGAAGACAGAGGACGAAAACCCGAGCCAAAGAAAACCAAAGGGCCCGAGGTTCCCCAAGAAGCCCAAGGCCATAGCCGATGTCTGAGGGTGGCATCACCTTGCATGAGCTCATGCGCTCGGCCTTTCGAAGAAGAGATTGAGCAGTGCGCCACAGACCACAAATTCAGACAGCACAGAGGAGACCACAACGCATTTCAGTTTTGCACGCGTTTTTGCAGAAAGACCTGAGTCAGAGTGAAGTTTTGTGTAAGGATTCCTGAGGAGAATGAGCCAGTTCGCGCTTCTCTTCCTGTCAGTCTTTCTAGCTATCGTTCTTGGCGCAGTCAGCTGACAAAACTTGTGCTGAGGACAAGAACTGCCTTTTCAGCCTTTTTGCACTTCTCCATTCGTATCTCCAAGTCAGACTGCCAAAGAGGCAGACTTGCACCGGCTTTTTCCCAATCCCAGTGCCTTCAGCAGGTATCTTCGATCGGATGCCCACATCTCCTTCTCGCAAGAAGCGCGCATCCATTCTCCTTCAAAGAGCTGTTCATGTTATTGTGATGGCATTGAATTTTTGGCATACTGGATGGAAGGCATTTTGGAAGTGAGGAGTTAAGGAGGAGACCAAATGCCATGCACAGAAAGTTTAGACTTGGCTTGGCCAAGTCTCTTGTGAGGTCGGACGGCATGGACGCAGAGTTTGAGGCCCTGCGTTCGGGACGAAAGAATCCAGAGCTTTTTGCACGGCTTTTTGGCCTGGTTGAGTGTTTCAAGCTTCGTGGAGGTTCTGTGGAGCTTCTGCAAACCCCTTCGTCAGGTCTTTTCAAGGTTTTGAAGTGCCTCGCATTGAGTCAAGGTATACCTATATAGAGCTGCAGCCTTATCGGGACCTTCATCCGTCTCGTTTGAAGGTCAGCAAAAACTCAAATGGATGTACCGGATTTTTTGTCAGTAAAACTTCCTGATGGCCTAAAGGAAACCAATGATTATGAAGCTTGACAGAGCACCAGAGCCGTGCCTTTGGGGCAGCAGGGGGAGGCAGAGAGGAGAGAGGATTTTGAGAAGGTCCTCTTTTCAACGCATGCAAAAGCGATGCAACCGACCGCCAGATTGGTGATCGTCGTTGCCGAAATGCAATAGAGGCAGTCATCAAAGGGCCCAGCAGTCATCATCATCTCCCTTCAGGTTCAGACCTCTGTGACCCGGTAATTGATCCATCCAGCCAACACCTCTTTCTTTCAGTGTCCGACAGGAAGGATTATTATCACCAGATAAAGGTGACAAGGAGACAAGGAGGAGGGCCATTTGCAATACTCTTGGTCCGGGCTTACCTCTAGAATGGCTTCAAGGGCTTGATGCTTTCGAAACCTTTTTGCTTGACAATGCCAAGAAGAAGAGGTACGACAGGCTGAGGGATGGAGATCTTTTAGGGATGAGGATGTTGAAGCATACCCGGCCGAACTCAGGTATTGTTTGGGCCGCCTTCAGCATCCTAGAAGAAGACCACTGCGGGATCGACATTGCCACTGAGAGGCCCGCACCCAGCTTCTACAGGCGCACGGACTTTTGCACCCCAGTGTCCAGCTGTCAGCTGACAGACCTTGGCGCCATGCTTCAGATTTACAAGGTCTGGTGATTGATGATTTCTTTTGCATTTCTGTGGAGCCGATCCTGATGAGGACGACATGGAACATGAGGAACGTGAAGAGGATGTCGAGATGGAGGAAGATGATGAGGGCGACGAAGGACAGCCATCTGAGGCCAAGAAGAGACGAGTTGAAGTGCAAGGTCTCATGGGAAATTTCGATCGATTGAGAGAGCCACATCCGTTTCTTACTGCTTCCAATGTGGTGGAGAACATGCTCTGTAAAACTGCGACCAAGCATCAACCAGCAGCATTGTGGATGCCCTCAACCTCATCAGGACCACCATGGAAGAACATTTCAAATCTCCGACTTCTGAAAGATCACAGACATCGAAGAAGACCATTGGAAGAAAGGATAAACACCCAAAGAACGTGATGCCTTCTGGCAAAAGATGGAGGAGATCTAAGGTGAGTGAAAAGGAGGAAGTCAGCAAGATCATGTACTTGCAGCCGACCCACATGCATGACGTCGGTGACAGGAACGAAGGAGGTGAACTTCTCGTCAATGATGTTTGCATCACAAAAGGAGGAGTGAAATCCAGGGACGAATTGGACATCCTCATCGAAAGAGACTGCAATGAGTCTCCACTGTCAGCACCGTCTGTCTATGAACTTCTTGAAAGACGACGGGAACAGGGAGCATGAGAAGAAGTAAGTGGAGGCCGAGCGACGTGCCAAGGGTGGGCATTGGTATTTTGCTCACATGTAACCTGGAACATTTGGATTGGCCGTAGGCCGGCTCGAAGTTGTCAGTGTCAACGAAGCTGAGTATGTTGGTGAAGAATGGCATAATGCTTACAAGTATCCATGAGGATATCGCGTCAAGAAACGATGGCAAGTACCTGGATGGCCCATTGACATTTCCAAAAGGATGAATGCTGCCCTACGACACTCCATTGGATGCAGGCAAGACAAGAAAACATTCTCTGGGCTACCATGCGATGAAGGAGCATGGGTCAATGTGGAGAACCTCATGAAGTATGATCACATCTGGAAAGATTCCTGCGTTCTTGATGGCACGGATAAAGCCGATAGGAAGAAGATCATTGAAAGGTGGAAGACACTTCAGAGGGTAATCTACACCGAGTTCAAGAACTCTCACCGGGTCCGAGCAGCACAAGTTCTTGCATTGAAAGCAACAAGAGGAGAACTTAGAAAGATCGTGCGTACGGACCCGCAGCACAGGATTTTGACCATCATCAATCGAAACAAGCTTCGCCTTGAGATTGGAGACGACGAAGAGGAAGTGTGGCTATGGCCTCTAGCGATCAGGGCACCGATGGGACATTTGAAAGTTCCTTGAGGAGATTGGAGATTGTCAGCACACATCAGCCCCGGTGTAGGACATGTTCTTGGAGGAGGATTCCACAGGACCCACTTTGATTCGATGAGCAGAATCTTTCATGAGGTATGCGGACTGGAGAAGGCTGTGACAGAATCAGCACATTTCTGGTACTGTTTGCTCCTTGGGACCGAAGGTCCATTGACATTGTCAGATTCAAGGACATTCCTGACATCTCCGTCTTCATCTACTTGACTTCGGAATCGTTATCGGAGTATGGTGCCAGATTGTTTGCAGATAGTCACATCATGGTCCAACAGACAGTTTCTTTCTCAGCATTCGACGCTAAGGACCCCAGTGACCGAGGCTACTACAGGATGTTAGTACATGGGGGGCAAGATCAATCGGTCTGCTCAGTAGAAGGGGCGAGGACAATCGCCACGATCAACACGTTCGACGACTTGATCGACAATGGTGAGAAGACTCATGGTCATCAAGAATGCACATCAGACGTACCAGCTCCGACTACATCCACGACTACAAGATGGATCGAGGCGATCTCACTGCTGACGATGGTGCGCAAGCCAGTCAATCCAGGATGCAGACTGTGCCCGGCATGCCTCTTGGAAACTCCGGCGGTATTGTCACTCTGCCTCTCATGCAAGGGATACCTCATTAGTCACGGATGGCGACATAGATTGAGGAAGTCAGTCACCACTGAAACTTTAGATTGACAAAGACCCTGAAACCGAGGATGTGAAGGACCATGTGAAGCAAGCATGGGAACACGTGAAGGAAGAACAGGATGTCGAAGATGATGGCGAGCTTCCTAGTGAAGAGGCAGTCCTGGGGGGTGCCGGTGAAAAGAAGGATCCAGGATGATCATGATGATGATCTGAACAACCTCAAGCAAGAAAGGATGGAAAAGGGTGAAAAGGACAATGTTGATGAATTCTTGGATGAGGAAAAGAGAAGTCCGAAGAGAAGAAAGAAGCTGAGGATGAGGAGATGGACATTGGAAAGTTTGAGGATGGCAAGGTCCGAGACGCAATGGAGTTCTCAAAATGGATGGAGAAAGTCCAATTTGGCTAGAAGACCCTTCCGGTAAGCCCATGTATGCTTGGGGATGCCCAACCTGACCTCGTCAACTTGCTTCTATACTCGCGATCAGCACCAACATCGCACAGATCATCAAGAACTTCCATCGAAACGACGATTCCAATCTCTTGGAGACCTACACATTGACCGTGATCCGAAGATCCCGTATCTTGGAGTGGATGACAATGGAGATCTGATTGAGCCCCAATAATTCCAAATGAAAATTCCATACCCGAAAGTCGGGAAACCTGGGGCGGCCGATGATTCGGATGAGGACGGTTTCATCACGTCATCCGATCATATCATGGATCTCTCTCATCTTCAAGCCACTGGTGATCATTGGTGATCTACATCTTGGAATGTGGCTATACCCCCGATGAATTCCGTGAGATGTTTTCTACGAAGGAGAACAGAGTCAATCCAAGGGATACCAAGGAAGAGGAAGAAGAAAAGGCCAAGATTGCACATGAACAACTCGAAGATCAAGCGATTTTCCTCAGGAGAGTGATTGCAGGGGCGTATGATGTGAATGCAGTGTATGTCTTCAGAAACGTGAACTATGCAAACGCCAAATATTCCTTGACCCCCTGGACATCACGTGTGCGTGTCGAGCTGATTGGTTTCAGTCTTCATATGATTTTACAGAATGGAGTCACTCTTCCAATGCCGCCTATGAAGAAGCTCATGAATCGATGAGCACAACCGATCGAAAAGACGTGAAGGACAACGTCCTCAATGGGGCACTCACCTGAAAGAAGCCCATGTGCTTGCGATTGCTGAC